ATTTAAATTATGTTTATAAAAGAGATAGTTAATTTTATGTATTTATTTTTATGAAAAAATCATATACATAAACATGAGATACATAAACATAAATAATTTGTTTATTATGCTGCAAAACTTTAAATTAGAACGTTATATGGTTTTAACATATTTGTGAGAAAATGTAAAATTATATGTCACTACTATAGATTCTTTAATTGTAGGATGAAATATATGTTTTAATGATTGAAGATATATTCTTTCTTATTTTCTTCCAGTAAATTATTCGTCGGTGGATTGTCATGGGAGACTACCCAAGAAAATCTCCAACGATATTTCGGCCGTTATGGCGAAGTTATCGATTGTGTTGTTATGAAGAACAGTGAATCTGGGCGCAGTCGTGGATTTGGATTTGTAACATTTAGTGATCCTGCTAATGTTTCTCTGGTTCTGCAAAATGGACCTCATCAACTTGACGGACGTACGGTATGTAGATGAAAACTATAGCTTAATAAAGCTAAGATCAGAATATAAATGAAGGATTACAGAAAATACATTTTATTGATTGTTTGTATTACAGATTGATCCAAAACCATGTAATCCACGGACTCTTCAAAAGCCCAAGCGTAGCGGTGGATTCCCAAAAGTTTTTCTTGGTGGCTTGCCAAGTAATGTGACGGAGACTGACTTAAGGTCGTACTTTACTCGCTTTGGCAAAGTTATGGAAGTGGTCATAATGTATGATCAGGAAAAGAAAAAATCACGAGGTGAGTGCAAGTTGATTTTTACATCAAGCTATACTCATTGATATGGTGTTTGACAGTTTTCACGCTAATTTTTAAATATATATTTTTTTTTCTTTTTTTTTACTGTAATAATAAATTATATTTTATATTACTTTTAATATTGTGCATATTGTATATTTTAAAGATAAGATAAGATGTGGTAACTGTCGAATATTGCATCAAAATAATGTTCAAATAAGTTATATTTTTTCAATCTTTGTTTTTCCATGATATTAGAATTATAGTCAGAATTCTTGAAAAAGACTTTATTTTTATGGAAAAAAAAAAAGAAAAAAAGAAAAGAAAAACAAAACTTATGTTATAAAATTTAACTTGTAATAATTTGTACATACACATATGGACATATAAGAGTAAGCAATTAAATATTTTAATTATTATTGAAAATAATTTTGTAAATGCAAGCGTGGATCAAAAATTCTGACTATAGTACACTCATTATTAGCATAAAGTAAATATTGATATTAAGCTCAATAAGAATTAATTTTTTATATTTTTAACATAGTAGTTTAATTATTGTAAAAGAGTGAATAATGAAATCTAAATTTATCTAATATTGCGCAATTATTTATGATATCTAGTTCTGATAATGTCTTTTGTAATGATGCATTTTACTCCTTTCCTGATTACATTACACACATGTTGCGGTGCTTTATGTTAAAGTAGTTTATATATAATGCGTTTTAACTAAGTTTTATTAAGTATAAGGTTCTATCAGTTATGCTATTGTAAGTTATACATAGCTTAAGCTCATTATGTAATTAGAAAGAGGTCTTACTAATTCCGCTTTTACTAGATATTGTCTATTTGGTATACTATTTATCCAGTAATCCATTAATGTAATTGTATCTTTATCTATAACTAGTAATATATACCAAATTTTTCTAAAATTTATTTTAGAATAAAAAATAACCTTAAAAAATTGTTAGTGATTATAACATTCAATTGAATGATTAAATATTTAGCTGGAAACTATTGGCTAAGCGAGACTGTTATATACTTATAAATAAGATATGGGTAGTAGCAAATTTTTTGGCAACAAATTAGATTTTTTAATTATTTGAAATATTTTTTACATAAATGACTAGTTAGTAGCTGTATTCAAGAAATCAATATTCTGGTTTCGTGTATCTATCTTTCTCGAAGTAAAGTGCTTTATTTCCATTAAGAAACTTGTTAAAGTTAGCTGTAGGTAAAGTTATAGAATATAAGCCACAGGGAAAGATTTTATAACCTTATGAAAGTCTAATAAGTTATGAAGGCAAAGGAATGCATTCATTATTTAATAATGTCCATTTTACTTTTTAATTTTTATAGTAGAACATATTATCTCTGCATACATTATACATAAACTTTTCATATTAATGACAATTTTTTAGTGATAGTGAGTGCATTGAAGATGATTATTACAGTATCAGATGTATTCTACATTTAAAAATAGGATTTAAATCTGAATCTTACTATCAAAATTGTTATTATTCTTTACGGCTACTTATTAAAACTTTTGAATAATATACTTATGTTTATATTTGGATAATATAATATAGTTTTATCTATTTTAGAGAATGATTATTATAAATTAATCTTAAATAAGATTAAATTAAGAGTTTAATCACCAATTGCGTAATAGCACTGGTATTAATAAGTAAAAAAATATAATTCTTTTCGTATTACTAAAAATGTTTGTATTATTAAAAAAAGTACTATTAAGTTATGTAATAATCAAGAAAAGATATGACAAATCTATAATTGTGATATTTTAATATTTGAATAATGAAGATAATTTGATTACAATAGGAGGAGAAACGCGCTCAGCCAATAGTTCTGCAGCACTATAATTTCCCTCCCTTATAGCACCTGCTTTTTTCTTTTGGAAGAATTCGTGTGCATTAGCATTAAATTTATACAAAAAATTTTTAGATTTTGAAACTATTAATCTGGATTTGTAAAACTATTGTATACGTATAGTACACACAATGCGGTATCGATTGAGATAATCAAATACTAAATTATTGAAGAGTTTACATTGCGCAATATAAATAGCGATTATTTTGTCATTCAGTGATATAAAATTTATTACTTAATAAGTCATAATATTATTGATGATGTAAATTGTGTATTTTTTGGATTTCTGTGGTTATATATTTCATACATTGTATTGTAAAAATTGTTTTCTCGCATTATTCTGGCGAGCATTTTTTTGATTATACTTTCTCACGTTTGGACGACAGGATTTGGCTTTCTAAGTTTCGAGGACGAAGAAGCTGTGGATCGATGTGTCGCTGAACATTTCGTCAACTTGAATGGAAAACAGGTATAACACCATCACCACGTATATTAAGATGTATGGAGCAGATGGGAAATATGTATATGTACATATTTTACCGATGATTGTTAATATTGTGCAGGAGTTTTAGCCATAAATTATTTATTTATTAATATGAGCATTAGCGTTATATATAAACTTTATACATTGAACTGACAGGGAGAGAACTAAATTAAATTTACAATACAATTTATAATTAAGTATGATAAAATATTTTTAAATGTTTATTATATAAGTATTATTATTAAAAAACATGCTTAGTTTACGATATAAGTATACTATCCAATTAATAACTTTCTTCTAATTTATAGTTAGAGCTAAATATGATTTTTATATAAGATAGCACAGGCGTTAACGCAGAGTATAAAATTAATTAGTTACTTATTAACTTAAAACATACAATAATTCGTAGTAATGTACATATTATTTACATTTTTTTTTTTCAAAAATTTGTCAGTTTAATGTAAATTTGAAACTTTTTTACTATTTTGATGAAACAAAAAAAAAACAACAACAGAAATTTCTACAATACATTAATGTGTCATTTGCTTCTTTCAGGTTGAGATAAAACGCGCGGAACCACGAGACTCTTCGAGTAAGATGAATGATAGTCATCAGGGTCAGTGGGGCCCGCCTCAGCAGGGTGGCCCGCCGATGGGAATGGCTGGAAACATGGGGCCTATGGGTGGACCAAACGGACAGATGGGTGGACCCATGATGGGAGGACCGATGGGTCCGCCTGGTAACATGATGCAACAATATCAGGGTTGGGGTACCAGTCCGCAAACAGGTGGATATGCCGGCTATAGCACTCAATATAACGCTCAGGGTTGGGGTGCACCACCAGGACCACCTCAACAGCAGCAAATTCCGCCACCTCCACCGCATCAGTGGGGTAGCAGCTACAATGTTCAGCCGGCTGCTGCTACTCAGGGCTATGGAAGCTATGGTGAGTAGGATATATTTTCCGACATAAAAATATTTTCTCCATCTTCCGTTTACTTTTCACATTTTAAATAATTTTCAATGATGCAATTAATAACTATAACTAATAATTACAATCATTTCTATGGGGAATTATGGCTGATTAGAATAAGAGTCGCAATTAAGATCTTGATTCGATTATATCGCGATATAAGTGTGAGACAAATGAAATGTAACTCAACATTTCGCCTGATATTGACAAGTAATGTCTTATTGTACGAGAGATGTACAAATTTTAAAATATTTTTGCCTATTAATATATAAGGAAAAGTCTACATGTGTTTTTCTGATACATTTTCTTCATTGTAGCATCAGTGTAAAATATTATGAACATTTTATTGACAAACAAAATAGCTGAAAAGATTCTTATAGAAAAATTTATTATTAAGTTTAAAATGTAATAATCTTAGCTTAATAATTAATATAATTAAATATATAAAATAAATCTCTTAAGATTTATAGATTCTTAACCAATTTATGGCGAAATTACAAGTTACACGAATATATTTATTGTTATATAAAATCTTAGGGTATTAATATGAATTAACAGTATTATTAAAATACTGCTATATCTTATTACTTATACAGGGTACATGACGGTAAATGAGGTTGATATACAGTTTTCTTCTGGAAAAATATCATTAAAAATATTATTATACATGTTGCATATATAAATTGCCGTACATTAGAAAGCCTTTAACTTATTCGATTTTGCTAAAGTTATAAAATTCAAATTAAGTATCAACTTCGTTTATATCTTACTTTGGATACATCACGAGTATATATTAGCGATAAGGTCTTACCTTAAACATCAACATAACTTTGATCCTGCTTCCTTCCTTATCCATCCTGCTTGGAGAGGTTAGAAGAAGAAAGAAAAGATAAGAACATGAGAAATCAAATCGCAATATAATATAATTAATTTTCACGATGCCCCCTGGAGGTTAATTAAGAAAGAGAAAACAGTAGGATTTTTCGATGCTAAAAGAGTTAAAAGAAAAAGTAATTACGTCAGTCCAAACTCTTATGTATGTTTCTCACTTATTAATATAACTAATTGATAAATAAATTAATAAGTAGATGTAGTTATTTAATATATTTTCTCAAAGGAAGAAAGTCAATAGTATTGTTAGAAATAAATGTTATTTTTTAATTCAATATCAGTTTGGTTCAATATTTAGTCATATAATTCTTCAAAATTTGAGACATAAATGTAACAAAAGTCTAATAATATTATTTAGTTGGTGATTATATATGCTTATAGTAACTATGAAACATATGCAATTGTAATGAGGATATAATTGTGAAATAATCTCAAGTGAATAAGGTTTCAATACTTTGTTTGGATTGATGTAATTCAAATGTATCGATATTCGAAATATTGGACCTCATAATCTTATCTATGACATTTATGCTTGATTCTCTTCAAGTTTAATCCTTTTTGACGTCTTTCTGTGTTAAAGTTTACGTTTCTAGATTTTTACACTGATTCTTTTTTAATAAGATACTAAAGCAGTTGCTCTACTTATCTATATTTAACAAGCTAAATTATCTGGAGGACACAATGCAGTGCTAGAAGTAGTATGCATTTAGAACAAATACTAATATTGGGTATGTTAACACATGTCAACGCGCTTACATTACGTAACAAGTGTCATAGTTTCACGTTGTAAAATAGAAAAGCTATCTATACTTTTATAATCGATACTACGATGTTGCACACAGATCTAACATTTCCCGCAAAAGCAACTCTTGTATACAATTACTGTCGTCACTCGCGTTTTCTTCTTCTTTCTTTTCTTCTTCTTCTTCTACTCTATTTATTAAGAGAACCAAGCATGAATGTTTAAATCGCCGAATAGACATTTTTTAAGGAATATTGAAGAAGTAAAGACATTATATAAATTGCTGTGCATTAGAAAGTCTTTAACTTATTCGATTTTGCTAAAGTTATAAAATTCAAATTAAATATCAACTTTGTTTATATCTTACTTTAGATACATCACGATTATAAGATACTTTTAACAAGTTCGAGAAAGACAGTAGTAATATGAATAAAAAAAAATGAGTAAGAAAAGTGAAATGAAGTGTGACATGCGGTCGGTGACACGTGTTTTGTGTGGTTGATGATCGCAGGTGGGCCGGCGGCGGCCGCTTCAGGGGGCTACGGGCCCACGGCGGGTACTGGCGGGGCTGCGGGGGGCGGGCCCGGGGGCTCCTGGAGTTCCTGGAACATGCCACAGAATGGGCCTCCTCCTGGGACCCAGCCCCCACCCCAGCCCCCTCAGCCCAACTCCTCGCAGCCCAACTCCAACTCGAACCCCTCTGGCCCGCAGGGTGAGTCTTCAGCTCAGTCAAACAAACTCTCCTCTTTCCACCCTTTGGCATCGTAATTAGCTCCATTCTGACCTAATTTTAAACCTAGCCTAAAGCAACGTAATCTTACATGTCCAGTGTTTGGAAAAATTAATGCTTCCAACATATAGAATGTTGTCGCGAGTTTTTTTCGTTTTTATCGTAACAGACTTCCTTCAGTTCTCATAATGAGTCTTGCTAATTGTAATTTTTAACCGCAAATAAGATATAACAATTGTTTGCATTCACTTGGCAATATTTTTTTAATGGCAAGACCAAGTTGGTTTGATGGATATTTGTAACATTATATCACATTAACATTTTTGTATCTTTTTAATGATCGATTTAATGAAGATGCGATTTTGATGAATTATTACATTATAAGAAGAATTGCAAAGTATTATCTTTGTACGAATTGTAAGCATAGCAATTTCTAATTATTTAGTGGCAAAAATTACATTAACACATTATGCTTAACTGGGTTTCTGACAATCAATTTATTAAGAATTTATTTATATATGATGCATTTAATTATCGCTATAGAGGTTGAAGGAAGTAGAATAAAATTTGTTATTGTGTTATATTTATAAGATTAAACAGTACACAGGGCTTGGAAGTCACTGTATCTTACCTAAGACGTAATATGATATTCTCCGGGAAATACAAAAGTCGGAAACAGTGCGTATAGATACTAGCTTCTGCTTGAATCGAGTGGGGATAATAAAGGGATGTAGCTGCGCGCTCGTTGCATATTGTTACAATCTTTGGATCGAAGGCAATGCTTGCTGTATGCTTGACACACTACGCTGGCCACTATGTTCCCACTGTATCTGCTCTAATATCTCATGTTTTATTCGCTAGTCGATGTGTATGAAATATGTCTCGAGCATTAGAAACAGTAATTTCTGAGCCCTCACGATAAATTACGATCCTTTTTTTCCAGCAATCCCAACATATTCCCGACACACATCTTTCCTTTCCAATTTTTTTTTTTACATTTTGTTATACTGTTTTCCATTATTTCTCTTCTTTTGCTCCGTGTCTTTCATATGCTTAATTTTTACGTGCAAATTCTCGAAAAGCATGTACCCTGCAAGAATACAATATAAGTCCACACTTGATATTAGAAGAATTATTTTGTAGATATTAAACTCACTTTATCTGTTATCAATTATTATTGTCGCTTATATTTGATTAGATTGAGAAATTTTATATATAGTTTTCAACCACGTTGAACATTAAATATTTATTATTACTCATCTCTTCTATCGATGAATGATATCAAACGTTCGAAATAAACGATATCAAGTTTTAGAATGTGCATTCTGTTTGATGTCTATTTTCTTTTTACTTGAATCGCTTATTAGCTATGTCCTCTAATGACATTATTTGCCAGTACCCATTTAACCATACTTATAATTGAAAGATTAGCATATTGCTAGCCCTAACAGATTTAGAACTGATTCTTAAAAGATATTTTCTTTCTAAATCCGAGCATGTTATAAAATAACAATAATCACATAAAAAATGCTAAGAGTTATTAAAAGATTAATATCCAATGATTATCTGTATTATAGGATAGCAATCCTGCTCTCCTTCCTTTCATTTCCTTTGCTGTCTGTTTTTAACGAACGACGAATTAATGTTTTCTTTATTGGCAATAACAAATATAATCCATTATTAAGAATATCAATCATAATTTTGTTCTATAAGATTTATAATCAAGAGAATAAAAATTATAACTGACATCAATTCGTCTTTTAGATCCTGAGATCAGTTTATCTTTCGTATTTTTGCTTGTTGTGTGTAATAAATGTGTCTAGTTAGCGCTTTTTATTATTTATTTACACAGTTTGCCTTTAGTTGTATATGAAATAATATAATTATTTTTAATTAATATATAAATTTCTTGCTGTAATGAGTTATGTGTATACACAAATATCTTTATAATATCTGTTTATTTCAAACAAATTTTACAATAAATGATTAAAAATAACATTAAAAAATGAGATATTTAGATGTTTGAAATATTAAATACACATTTATTATGCACAATTGTTATTATGCTGGATGATAGTAATAATTATTTGAATTAAATGCATGGTTATATAGAAATTTTATGTCTTGAGCATATATTGTCTATTGCTTTTAACAAATTAATTTGAAATCAATTTTATATATTGATAAAAATATAAGTTTTTTTGAAAAAATCTGTAATATAATATAATTATGTAGATCTAAATTTCTCATACTAAAAATTGGTATTAAGAGAATATTAAATAAAAATTTTAGTTGAATATATACATTAAAATTAAATACTGATCTCATTATCTTAATGTTGAAGTAGTTCTAATTTAGATGTATATAAATTAAGTTTATAAGATTTTAGATATTAGACGAAATACTCTCTTTATGCACAAATGTTTGTAAAGTAAAACTTGAATGCTTATGATGTTGTATTTCATTGTAAGAAGTTAAATTTTTTTTATGAGGTATGATTATTACCATTGTTTATTATACATTTTATATTGTGTTATATTTATAATTTGTTATACAAAGCATAAAGTAATGTTTTGACGTGTGTATATCAAGAATATATTTTTACATACTAAAAAATACAAAAAAGTAAGGGTAGTAAACCCAAGTGCAAAAAAAAAGATAAAAAGTAGTGTTTATATATTCTGCAATAAAATGTATGTATATACATGTATGAACATAAAGAACACACACACGCAAAATTTTATTATTCTTTTTAATTTTTTCTGACTACTATTTTTAATTACTTGTTTTATTTTTTAAATATTATAACGTCTAAATGATAACATACAAGAACGTAATTGTGCACACACCGCATTAACTTTAATATAATTCCTTAAGCACGTTAAAGTTTAATTTTTTTATTTTCTTTACTTTTGTCTTTAAAAGCTGTAGTGTAATTAGACGAATGTACTGTGAATGACTTGGTGTCGTGGATGAATGTTCCAGGTGACATGTATTCGCGGCAAAACACCGGCTCAGGTGCACCCGGATCTAGTAGCAGTTCGGCTAAGACTCCAGATTATACTGGGTATTCCGCGTACAGTAATTATGCTGACACCACTTATCCTCAGCGTTCGTATCAGGGAGGAGAAAGCAACCAAGGTGGGTATGCCGCCAGCGCTCCTAAACCCGGCCAGCAAGGCTTTGATTTCAAAGAGTGGCCCACCTCATGACCATTTTAATTGACTCGTGGTGGAGAGATGCGCTGAATGGCTTGGCCTTGCTCGTGGGTTATTTCTTCATATTCATGACAAGCGCAAATTGTACATCGGAATCTGCACTATAATATGAGACATTCTTCGTCGTTTCACGCGTCGCTCACTGCATGCATTAGAGATGCCATTTAGAGGAAAAAAAAACAACCTGTATCACACTTAAGAAATTCTGCGCTACGTAACGTATTTTTGTAGAAACTGCAAATTAGAGTTGCGATTAGTTGTAATTGTTCGCTAAAAAAGTTGCTAAGATGCGCAGGAGAATTTGGCGATGAAAAAACGCGAAGAATGTCTCCTGTTGCCAGCATGTCGTTCGCGAGCGGTCGTATTTACGAAAACAGATATCTCTTTTGACAATATCGAAGTGCTGCATCTTTGCAAGCTTGGAAAACGGAAGCGTCAAAGAATAGAAGGTATTTAGGCTCTTTCGAGATATTGATTTCTTCATTGATCGCTCGCGAGCACGACCCATAATCTTCTCGAATTAAAAAAAGAAAAATAATAATAAAAGCAACTGTTAAAGTAATAAAATAAATAAAGTAAAGCAAGCAGATCGACAGAATTCGAGTACACACCCATGATGCAAGCGAAGTTTGTATGGCACTGGGATAGGGGAAGAGAAGCGCCACAATATAGAAGTATTATAAGGAATAATATATACAGCAGTTTTTACGAGTAAAGTGAAACTAAAAGCGAGCGTAAAGTGTCAGGAATGCTCATCATTTAATCATTAATGGCATTTATTATGGAGGTGAATAAGATTTCATTCGAGAAGGGGTTCTTCTCAGGGGACGTAGGGCACAAATTTCGATGCTTGTTCACCTCCCAACCGTTAGCAGACACTTCGATAACACGAACGATAAGAATAATAAACGAAAGAAATATTTAAACTATGGTCTCCGATGGAAAGTCCACGTGAGTGACTTGCACATTCGAGACGCTCGTCCCTCCACAATCTTGTATTTATTAAATAGTTGTTATACCGGATAATATTGAAAGAAGAAACAAAATGATAATGAATATAATTAATGAAGATAATTAAGTAAGACGATCATACAGGCTGACTTATCGACTGCAGAGAATAGTGTAAAATACATATAGAGATCATTTTAATATGGTGTATGTATATCTATACAAGTCTTGACTCTCTCTCACGCACACACATTCACACATACACACATACACACGCACATACACACACACGCACGCACACACACACGTACACACACATACAGCAGGATGCGGTTTTTTGCGAGCGTCCTTTTTTACTTTTATGTCATATCACTAGTAGTATCTTAAATACGTATTTCTCTCAGTTCCTTTCACTTCGACTCTTTCTCGTTTACGACTAATTTCTTAAATTAGTTTAGCGGTTGCTTTCCTACTCTTCCAACAATTTGGAAATGATATATCAATACGCGAAAGGGAGGGGGATAAGAAGAAAAATAAACAATCATAAATATTTTTACAAATTGTATTATAAGAACTGAGGGTGGTCGTCGGACTGGCTTCCGTATGACCATACCGTAAAGCACGTGGAAACTGGTTTATTTTTTACCTCCGATTTATAATAGCTATTAGGCACGTTTAAGGCTACACGATTATTATTGTTACTATTACAATTAATTCTATATTATTATTACTATTGTATACAACTATTATTACTATTACTACTTATCACTATTTACTATTGCTATCGCTACTACTGCAACTACTATATACAAACTGCACTATTATTATTACACTATTATTACTGTCTACGATAATTACGAAATATAATATTGTACGATGATGCTTATAAGTGTTTAAATTTTAGATCGTTAGAACGAGATCATTGATAGATAAGGTGGAGGGAAGGGTATATTTTAATCATGTGGATATATCTTGATAGGGGACACCGACCTGAAAAGTTTACCTGATTAAATATATGACTTAATTGTATTTACTCTGTAGGATTTACCATAGATCTAAACGAAAAATATTTCGGAAGAGTGCTCTCCAAATGCTCATGTTTAATTATCGAGCGGGTCGCGTTGTGTCTTACTTTATCGATGAGAATGGCGAGTATTACGTACTAATGTAATTCATCAAGATAGACCTCTCTTACCACATAAAGGTATATAATTAATAGATTACAGTTACAGGATCCAGCAGTTTCGTTAAGCGTTGTAAATGTGATCTCATATAATGTAATTTATCATTGTTCACGTTCTTTTTCTTGTCCATCGAACGACAGTATAAGGCTTCATTGTATATTAAGTGCAAGATGATCGATTTTTATTTTTACTCTTATTTTTCGTTGTTTGTTTTACCGTTCGTGTCATTAATGTTTATTATGTGTACCCTGACAATAAAGTGTTGAATCATTGCATTCAAAAGTAGAATAAGCCATTTTTTTTTATTATATTTATTGCCGGTAATATTGATTTCGAATTTTGAGTCATTTTGCATTTTTTGTTAGAAATCTTACACGGTAACTTCTTTTTCGTCTGCGACGAAATAATATCGTGGAGAGAAAGCCGGTGTTGTAAACGTTAAATCGGACGAAGAGAAATGACGAGCGAAACGTTAACAAACGCGACTCGTGTAAATTTCTGGGATCAACGCAATAACACACTTCATTAAACACGTAACGAAACGAAAATGCGATTAGAGAGCTCAATCAAACAACCAATTTTACACACTAATCGTTATGATAGTGATACAAAGGGAAAAAAAACACGTACAGATCACATATACACTCATGAACACACACTTGTCACACGTACACACTTCTACGCGCATAAAAAAAAAGAAGTAAAATAATTAAACAGTGATTCGAGCGTTAAAATTCGTAAGGAAAAAAATATATAGATAAAAAGTGATGAAGACACTATCATTGTTTTGAATAAATAAACACGTTATTTAATACCTAACTTGCAAAAGAGAGAGGAGCGGCGTATATAGCGAGGTGTTTTTATCTACGGCTGTTTTTCACAACTTATTTTATAAAGTAATGTGCCGGTAAATAACGACGCGCGGAATAAGAGCCATTAGTATATATCCAATTATAATGATTAATACTAATATTGTATTTCTTACTATTATCGATTTTTAACTCAAGTTAAAGCGTGAATTTTTAAAGTCCTTAAGTGTATGCGAAGTGTTATAAGGAAAAGCGATTATTACATTTGATTTGTACAGGGCACGTAAGTGTAAATCGACGCGTTTGTTGATGATTGGTATAAACGCGAAGCGCTCTAATTAATTTATTGTATTAACGAGTCTCTCAGACGGGTAAAAGTAAATTTAAATGTTGCTAGCGCGGGGTGCGGGGCAGGGGAGAAAAAGAAAGGACTACAAAAAGTTAATGACTGCCTTTGCCGCGACTGTATATACATATATTTTAGATTATGACGAGATGGTATAGCTGAAATATGCGCGAGCGAAGTGGGTGGGCCAAATGGAATTTTTTAAAAAATCACACAAAACAAAGGCAGGACGCGAAAGCTTAGAGTGGGAATTATTCGAATAATTGATGATTACTAATTATAACAGATAATATATTTATCGCAATATTATTAGTATTTTTAAATACAGAGATGACGCATCTAATTAATGTAATAAGTAGCATATAGGGAAGATATACTTTGATTCTAGCCGTTGTTATACTACCTGCCTCAATCGCGATTTCGCGAATTGTACGGCTTGCTCTCAGGGTTGTTGTTGTTCTTTACTATTGTTTCTTCGTGCTCTTTTTTTCCTCCCTGTCTTATGTTCATCTACTCTCACTGTTCCGAGTCGGTCGTATTTATCTTTTTTTTTTTAAACGGACGCTTGCGCCATTCTCGTCGAGTATCCTGTAAAGGAGGCCCTAGATACAATATTGAAACATCTTTTGTGCGATGCTTTTATCTTCGTTTTAAGCAGACTGAGGCATTTTATTTCCGTTTCGTACGAGACATTAAACGCGTCTGAAGGAAAATCTATTTGACATCCGCAGAAAATCATTAGGTAGAATTTGATTCCGAGATTCGCATGTGAAATCAATTCAACTAATCGGGGCGTCGAAATAACATGTACAGTTGTTTCGGTGCAACGATTATTTGAATCGATTTCACGCATCGAGCTTGAAGTCAAATACCGTTGCACACAGCCCTATTCTGTAAATGATTTTGAAAAATGGAGAGAGAAAGAATTAACAAATATATGGTTTGTCATTTATGCTCTTGTAAAACGGAAATAAGAAATTTTGCAATAATTTAACTATTTCTCTCCGTTTTTCATGTATTTAGGTGATTTCCGTGTTGATTCATTTTTTAAATATACGAATAATAGCGAGCTACAACTAGTAAAAGAAAAACAAACTATAAATATTACAGTCACACAAAGTTAGGTCTCGTTATTCTTTTTCTATTAACATAATTAGGTAATGGGTGGGTTGATCTTTTTCATTTTATCGGTAAATACGTAGCATGCGAGTTAGGTTTTGCAAGGCAAGTTAAGTATTTCGATTTAAAGAAATGTCCTTAAATATGTATAAATAATTCCGGGGACGTCGCGAAATGTCTGTTTTAACGTTTAAGCGCACGTTCTAGCGTCCCGCGCACTAAAAAGACTGGTCGTATAATTAAATATTACACTTAACTACTTATTACTCATATTGTAATCTATTATGGAAACACTTTCTATTGATACGGATGATTTTCTCCTGCCGTTTTTAACTGTTAGTATATGTCTTAGTTGGTACCACATGAACGATGTGTGAATTATTGGCTATTGCATTTTTATGGAGATCGTTTTATGGCGATTCTTAATCTCGAAATTTCGCAAACATCGCGTAGTTCTTCTTCACTATTTTTACGGTTTTTTTACGGTTGCACCGCAATCTCGAACGGAATCGCGTCGTTCGATAGCAGATAGAAGTAAGACCGATAGACAGGATGGGCAGTTTTTCTTCGACAAACTATAAATTTTATCGAAAATCGCGTTGAACCAATCAGGATAGGGAAAAAAACAATGTATTCTCGGTGGAAAAGAATATTATCACTATACAAGTCTACTCTTTGTTAAATTGATTTTGCTCCGTTTAGACAATTGATGTACACGTCGACAAAGAATCGCTAAAAAAAAAAAAATAAAAAAAAGAAAAAAAAGAAATCGACGTACGATTCCTATAAGAAAATTCCGATAAATCAAACTTTCCTAAGTTCTTTTTTCATTCGGACGATGCGTGAGGGTAATAAAGATGAGGCCGCCGGTATATTGTACTCAGGTAGTGTGATAATTGCCCACGCGTGTGTGGGCGCGAGTATAAGGCAGTATAAAAATAATTTCAAACGGGACAGCGGATTAATATAAGAGACAAATGTGTTACATATATACACACACACATGAGATATTCTAAATTACGTTTACATATAGAAACAGTTAAGGTATTAAATTATAATTACAAAGTGATTTTCTCCTACGAGTCTGATAGAACAAGGTAATCATTATCTTAAACATATATAGTAAAGCGAAAAACAATGTAGGTATTTAAAAACAAGTGAGTTTTATATAAGAGAAATTCTAAAATATGTTTATGTTATAAGATTTGCGCAGATACGAAGGTTTATTACAACAAATGGACAGGAGTGAAGAGAGGGAGACAGTCGATTCTATTAAAAGGATAAGACACACAAACACACCTTTACACGATACACACTTACATTTTTACTCTGAGAAGATCCTTAAAAACATACAGCACTGGAAAGAAGAGTGAATCAGGGAGTGTAATCAGTAATTTTTGACAAAAGCCACGAGTGCATTAACGAATTGGACGAGTTAGCTAGATGATGAAATAAATAAAGTCTTGTAAAACGTGTAATTATTTTGATCATCGAATCTCGAGACACGTGATCGAGAGACTAAATAATTTTTAGATTTTATTAGACCGCTATTTGAGAATTAATGAAAGAAAAAATAATTAATAAGGAGAACATTTTTAAGGTTTTCTTCTTTTTTTTTTGACACATGGGGGGGGGATGCACACCGCCACCTTTTATTTTGCTCGAAAACGGACGAAGAGTTATTTCAATTTTAGTAGAATGGAATTCCTACAGTCGTTGGGATGCTTTAAAATAATATCTCGCACACGGTACGATGAGAGAATCGATCGATCTACTTTTATCATATTTTAGTGTGAAGTAATAAGGTAATAAACGTAAAGTTGGTAATGATTGTAACGATAATAAATGAAATTATTAACTGTAATAACATGACCTGTATACTTGTAAACTTTTAGCATTGTATTGGTAAGGTCGTGTCCCCTTACGAGATAATCATAATTAAATAGCATAAAATAAAGATAAACGAGAAAAAATCTATGGTAGTAAGTTTAGTAGTATCACGAGTGTGCCGCATGCGCATTTAGATATTTGCATATGCGATGTGTGACTTCCTGCAAAAAGTGGCGGGCGCGCGTTACGCCCATCTCGAATAATAAAGACATATATTTGTTAAATGACCTTTACGCTCGCGCGCTTTCTGTTCGTCTTATACCCAGTGCCCCGAATTTAATGTCTCCCTGTGCTGAAAAAGGATGTTCGACTTTTTGCAGTTTGCTATGAAACGATGAAATATCATACTGTAAAGCGAAGAAATTTAGCGTATCTGATTGTCTGGATTGGAATTCCTTGATTGAGAAAAAGAAAAAAAAAAGGAAATAGAAAAAAAAAACTCGTAAGTGTGAACTGTATAAGAAAAGTGAATGTGGCGCCTATAAATCTTGAATTAAAATTATCATTTTTAAAAGGAAGCTTATAAACGAAGGATATTATACAAATAAAAGCGAGCAGTTGCTTGAAATGTTTAAGTTATTTTAAGATGTTTTTTTATTTTGTGCTTGATGTAAAACAGAGTTATTATTTGTAAGAACTTAATAAATTGAAAACAGCAGGGAATTGTGAAAACGCAAAAGATATTTATAAATCAACATACAGTAAATTATGAAAACGTTTCAGCCCAATTTCAGGTCCTCTTCAGTCTGACAGAATATAACAAAGGAAGGGAAGAGTTGATTGTTAAAAATGTCAGAATTTAATACAGTAGTTTGAACAAATAAATGAAAGTAAAATGGGATGTGAATTTAACGGTATTGATGATTAAGGATAAACAAATTAAATAATAATTATTAGTTGAAAACAGTTACATATTTAACTGCTCTGGCGTGTCTGTAGAACTGAAGAGCTCAAAGATAAAGCTATGAGTGAGATAATGAGGCTTGAAGTCGGACATTCTTTGGACAGCACAGAGGTGTACGTTCCAGGCCAAGGCGCATGGTCTCAACAGAGAATCAAACATGTTTTTTAAATACATAAAAAAGCCGCAAGCTACCATAAAATTTAAAAACAGGATAGGATAAAAAGAGAGGAAGGAAGGTATAGGTGTTTCGAAGCGAGGAGGGATAGGGAGAGAAAGAGAGAGAGAAAGAGAGAGAGAGAGAGAGAGCGAGAGAAAGAGAGAAAGAGAGAGTGAGAAAAAAAGTAGATGAAAGAAACTAGAGCATAATTTTTTTCGTCGCTTTTATAATGATAATAATTAATGAATGCTGCATTGCTGCTGAAATGCTATCAGATCAACATAGAGGATATGTTGAGAAAACACTATTTACACGCTACTTTCTTGTGTATCTATATATATTCATTACGACATATGTGTATGTAACACGCACTCGTATGTCTGCTCGTGTAAATGTATACCTTTAAAAATATATGCGTTTATCGATAGGGATTATAAGTATTTTTTTAAAGGTATGTACGTTATATGCACGATCATTCGTGCACGCGTATGTCCGACATATATACGTATATGTGTACCACACTTTTACACATACACACGCGCGTACATATATATATATATATATACATATATATATATATATTATCTAAATATGTATAGCCGTACACACAAACATCAGATACACACACTATTCTTTTCTTTTCATTTGTTAGAGAAAGAAAATAGAGGTGTTATGTCGATGCTGTTGCTGGAGTAATGTTGGTTGCAAGAATATTTTTCATCAGTCGTTGTAGGTGTCGATAACAATACAATTTCAGCTTATTCTCAATTTTCGGATTGACATAATATGCTGAAATCGAGACTGAAGCTTTGCAACTTGCTTAAGTCGTACACTTTTCTTGTGTTATCCATTCTGAACATACAAAGTAGACGTGTATTCCGTGAAAAGGCGCATAGAACACTATGCGTGAGTATATAGAAATGAAAATTTATCGATCTTTCGTTAGAGGAGGATCGGATCTTTTTCCGGTAATGATATGTTGTTCGGAGGAATTCACGTCTTTGTATGATTGCCTTGGTAAATTTTTGGTGAATAATTAAGTTTGACATAGGATTCGTAAGAACAAGCCAACGATAAGTTATTTAACATGAAGTTACCGCTTCAATGCAATTCAATAGAATTCAATAGTTAGGCTCGACGTAAGCATAGTTATTCCATCTTTTGCATTAATAACGATTTTAATATGCCAAATTTCCTACGTCTCAGCACAATCATTTCTACGATAACTTTCTGAATAAAAAAAATTTGCTTCCTGTTATCTCGTTACGCAAATATGCTCCGAGTGGCGCGCAACTTTTTCTTCGCAACTTTTGCGAATAACTCACGTCCAAGATATTTCTTGCAACTGAGACTACTAAAGTTTAGAGTAGTACAACGAACGGCGACGAATGAAACTCGAAAGAAAACAATTGGGATTGCCATTATTTATTGCAAACACCATTTGTTTTGGCATCTCGCGGTGTCACATCTGCATGTCACATTTGCGATCGCGTCGGGCAAATCGGTGCCGGGCGTGGGGATCGATATATTATCCACCGATCGATCTTGTCAGGGTGTATTCTAAGCGCGAAACTCGAAAGTAAACTCCTTGAGAACCAGTCGGAAAGTCCTAGTAACACGCAGTTAATCCGTTCTCTCTTAAGTAAGCCAGTCTCTAAGTCACCTTGGGACCCGAAAAAAAAGAAACACTTTCTTATTTAAGTGCTAGTTAATTAACGGTAACTTTTAGAAGTATCGCAAGGGCCGAGTGGGAGTATCACGTATAACACAATATTCGATTATGTTTGGACGAATAAGTAATTAAGCCTGGCACATGTTTGATTGCGCAACATTGCCAGTAGATCGATGTAAAGTGTAAACTAGTTGTAATTCGTAACTTAATTAATTGACGAAAGAACTGACTGCGCGACGAGGGTTTCATAATTGTTGGATTTATATTTAATTAGATTTTGGTTATCATATGTGAATTGACGCGAGACTAGAGATATACGATACCTGTAAATTTTTTATTCTACGATATTATAGTGCGCTTCTTTCGTGCGCGCGTGAATACGCGCGGCGATGGGTCGCGCGATGCATTTTACAACTTAATGAAAAAGAGGACATAACGTGAATCTGTGAATCAATAGTTTATCTTTCGCGTAGAACATCACGATTAATGTTAGGTGGTACGTTCAATCAGTAACTAGATCATTATGGGAACTTAATTAAGACTTTACCACTAATGGCTAATTAAATGACCAATCGCGCGATCATGTGTGTACGAATAAGATGTGCATCCCGTATTATCATACGGACGGTCGGCAACTCATAAATTTTTATTACTACTGTAATGGTGTACTGCGTTTTCTCTAAAATATTAAACAATTTACATAAGAAATTATTTATTATGAGAAAATTATATTTTTTAAACTTTGTTTTATTTAATGATGTATATGTATCTCGATAAGGTGCATCTTCCAAATATCTTCCTATTTTACATTTATTTATAAATAAATAAGTATTTATTTATTTTTTAATTGTAATTTTTAATTCTAACGGCCAAGTTTGCACAGTTGCTGACCACTTATCTAGCTCGCTAAATATGTCGAACCTTTTGCATTTAATGAGAGTTCTCTACGCTTGCGATTCGGACGCGACGCAAATGTGACGCACAAGAAATCGATCACACACCGTCTTCGTAGACGCTTTTAAGGTATAGCGCATGTACACGTGAGGATTTATGTACAAGTGGAACTTGGAGAACTTTATCGATTAGAGTATCGCGTTCTCCCATTTCTATTTCGGGGGGATTGCTCGTCGTACACATTCGATAAACTACATTGAATATAAAATAGTATTTACACAGATCCGTATGCGCATGTACTAACTAAATAACTGTTTGTATTTTAATGAGTAATATTTAATGTTTGATGTTTATCCATCACATTATGTGCGTAAATATAGAATTATTGCGGAAACAACCGTATTATATCGATAGAGAGACCGGCGGCGAGCCTAGGGTCGGTTGGTGGTTGGAACGCATTTTCCGGCATTGTAGGTGCCTTATGTTTGCTTTCTCTTGTTTGCAGACGATTGACGAGTAAGATTAATCCACTTTGATACAATGCACTATCGATAAAAATTCCATGGTTTATAATAATTTTATGATTATAGATTTTAATTCTATCGCCGAAAAATATTACACAGTAATGCATTTTACTTTGCTTTATTGCTACTCAAAAATTTCGATCATGCAAAATTACGCACATTATTTCTTTTTTTTTTTTTACAAGTATCTACAATAGATAAATCATTACGTCTTGAAGAGATGAGAAACAAAATATTGATAACAATTATGGATGAAAATTAAGTGTCAACATGATTTTGCTACCTCTCAATTTTTTTAGATCGAAAAAATTGCTGTGGGATTTATTAACTACGAGAATAGCTGGAGCCGATACCGAGACGATTCGCATTTTCAGTTTTGAGATTTAATTCTCGATTACGGTGCGCCAGTTATCGAAATCGAAATATACTTAGTTCACATTTTGCTCATTCCAGAATTTCGTTGTTTCGTTGAAACGGACGAAAGATCAGACCGACCGATCGCGGCAGTAGCCCAAGTTATTGCTAGGCCTTACTTTTTTTTTTGCGTTTTAACAGCACGCGTTAGTTATATTTAGTTTAACGCATAATTTCGCCGAGAGCGAAAATACGTCCAACGACCACTGCCCTTCGTGGAGACACGTGAGCGGCGATCTTTTTCGCGCCCAGCGCCGTTCGCAGAAGCGTAGCCTGGAGAAGGGATCGCCAAGAATCATGAATTATTATTAATAACGAGTAGTCAGCATATTTTATCGAGCTGAATTAGGAAGGAAACATTAATAATAATCGCGCGTCTGCTGTTTCTCCTCGCGAGTCGCGTTTGCGCGAACTCGCGGCGCTTCAGCCCGATTTGGAGATATTGCCATGACACTTGAGCTTAGGATAAAAAAAGCGGAAAAAAATAACAAAACCTTATTAAAAGATAAAAGAAGTGTCAAAGTACTGCTACAATTATCACTAATTAACTATTAACGCGTTAGTACGACTCAAACCGAAGAGCGGGGTGGAAAAAGCAGGGGAAGAAGGTGGAAATAGAGGGGAAAAAAACTGTACTGTTGTTATTAATTTCTATTTGTAATTAATTAATTAATTGTCATCAGCCATGGCTTTACTATTTTCTTGATAAAATACTATATATCTTCTACAGCTTCTCGAGGCTTCGGAGTAATGAGGCGCGTGTGAGAGAGAGAGAAAGAACGTAGCTTAGATTTACTAAGGCGAGCGTGTTTAACGTTAATTAAGATCGATGGGAGTTGGAGCTTAATTGGTGTCGTAAGAATCCTGTGCGGTCGAGCGCTGCGTGGGTGGCTGTAGGGGGCGGGGGTTGAGAGAGGGTGCGTGTGAAACGAAACGGGCGCAGCAGAAACCTGGACTCGGTTAGGATAGATAAATAGACGTATATAAGACGACCTGGAAAGACTGGGAATTAATTAAATCACACTCTCGGAATAGTTAATTAGGAAGGCTGGCTGTAAAGTCAAACGACTGTTCCGCGTTTATTGTTACTAATAGTTAATGGGCTATCTCTAACGTCTTACGGTCTAGTTTACTCGATATAATGGGACAAAAAGTTGTTTAATAAACTCGTTACCTCCGCCTAAGGATGAATAGCTGTTACGAAAAAAAAAAAGCAATCGTAAGGTTAGCTGGGTAAGGCCGAATTTCACGTTAAAATAAATACGCGGATAGAAAGTACACACCGAAAGTGCTACACAAACACACACACACACACACTCACACACACACAACAGAGGTCTCTTTTCTTCGAACGATAACGCGAGATACGTAATACGGAAGGAAGGAAAGTGCGAAGGAAATTTTCGTTTTACATCCGACATTGACAATTCACTAACTCCTCTCGAGTGCGGTTCGCAGTATTGCATTATGTCACATTCGAATATCTGGCTGTTTTAAAAAGAGCGTCTTTCAAAATTATGAACGTTACAAGAAAAATTTCCAAAGTCGACGGCTTATTTTCGTTCTCTTTTGCTGCATCGGTACGAATGTTACTTCGTACTTGGACAACATAACTCTTCTTAAACGTGTCTTAAAATCGCGACGGTACGATCGTCGTATATTCCTTCACGAGGGATACGACGACGTCGAACGTCGCGTCCGGGGTAGCGAAAGGTGACACGGGGTGAAAGATGAATGAATGTGAAAAGTTGGGCGAGACGTCATAGAGGTAAATCGATATAATTATTGATTAAGGGCTAAGTTGTGTACAAATGTATTATAAATTAACGATTATCTCAGAGTACCTTAACGCAGAAAGGAAAAAAAGTAATTAATGAAACTTCACTTGACTCGTTTTAATTATCATGAATACAATATTATATATATAGAGGCCCGCCGTCGCTTCTTTCAATGGCGGGGGGCGAGAGCGCGGGTACGGTGCATAGGATCAATAATTAAGATATCGATTATTGTCTAATTAATTAATTAAACTTGTAACTCTCGAAATAAGGCCGTTGTAGACAAGTATTAAAATAGGAAAAGTGAGATATTTTTAATGAAACAACAACAAATGCCAACTATTGTGTTCTCGTGAGAATCATAATTATTCCGTAATTCTTAAGTAAAAAGAGGAAAGCGTATCTAAGTCGTTGATTATATAAGTCGTTGTAATTTAATTCTTTTGTTAGAAAGCAAAGACAACGGGAGAAAGTAAAATGGGATATGATAAATCACAGGCAAGACGAAACGTACGCGAGTAAAAGAACGAATGGACGAACGTGTGCACGAAACGATGATTCCGAGTGGTTGACAAAATTGAGTGATAATGGATTGATAAGCACGATGATCGAGTGACTCTTGCGAATAATGAACGGTAGATTGAATGAGAAATCGAATAAATTCGGGGTTTTCCGCTGAATTTCTAATAATATACATGTGTGTGCATGAAAGTTGATTAACAAAAAAAAACAGTGACTTTTATTACTCTTTGTTTTATTTACTAATTTATACAAAACAATTATTATTTTACTTACTGGGATTTATCAATATATATTGGATGTTTAATATCACAAATTAAATTAAATCTACAACTTTGTTTTAACATCTCCATTAAAAATTGGGATGTAAAGAAATTATCGATATTGTACGACTTCCAACTCAAAACTGTGATTAGATATGGAATAAAAAAAGAGATATTTATCAAAAACGAATCATTAGTGTTCCAATAATTGCATGAAATTTATTGTTGTCGATTATTTGTCATCATTAAACGATATTCAGATTACAAAGGCTACAAAAAGTGTGCAAGAGATTCGAGAAAAACCGAATAGATTCAATTTCTCAGTGGAAAGGACGGTGTGAATGATGAGTGCGATGAGGAAGAATGAGTGAAGGAGAACCGCGTGATTACGAGACGAGTGATTACGAGTGAGCATAGGCATAAATATTCGATGTTAACAACCAAACGGTGGACATATATACTCACACACTAAGAGAGTGACGTTCTCACATACATTCTAGTAATACAGGATCATAGATTGTACGAGGTACAAGTGGCACGCGATCAGGCGCGCCGAATCAGGTTTAAGGTTTGCCAAATCTTACTAAGTAAAAACCACGCGAAACAGAGTAAAGTTTATTAAGCTGTATTACGTATAGCATGTGTAGGGAGTACTTGCATTAAAAAAAAACATAGCTAAAAACCGTTAGTGCTTATTAAAAACGAAGATGTGATGATGAGTGTCGGTGCAATATTTCCAAATCGACGCCCCTCGAACCTGCCGTTTGTCGGAAGAAACCATCAGCCTTCAAACGATCTTGCATGTAAAACGTAAAAGGAAAGTGAAAAAAATTCACGGTTACAAATCAAATGAAAGGAGAAAATTCTCGATTATTGCATTTTCATGCGATCGTGCGTTTGTTTTACTTTTCGTCGCGTACTTCTTTGTCGTTGGAGCATTTTGTAGGTTCGTAGGGCACGTGCGTGATCTTATTGTTAGCTTATCAAGAGACGACAAGGAACAATCGTTAAATCAGATTCGTCCGCGTCGGGGTCCCAGTGACCCGTGACGAGGCCTGCGAAGAAAAAAATTAAAATATGACGAGAATGAGGGAGGGGAGTAAGGGACAGAGATGAATCAACGAGAGAGAAAATGACGAAAATAGTTAAAAAGTAATTAACGATCGTTATTTAATTTTAGCGATGTTATTTCTGATGCGACGGAATGAAGGATTGATCGCGGGAGATTGGCATGTACGGATGGACAACAAGTCAAGGGAGACACGAATTGTAAAATAGGTTTGTGATGATAGGCGTTCGAATTGACGTGACGCGAATTTCTGCGCGTGTTCAGCACAAAAAGTAGGGCTCTGTAATCGACATTACAGTCTCTGCGTGGGTGTGGCAGGATATGAGATTGGTGAGCGATACTTCGAAATTAATGAATACACATGCTGGAGTTTATTAAGTTTCTTGAGCTGCGGTAAACCATTTCACATTGTGTATAACGATATTGTCGTGTCAACGCGATAGCAAATATTCTTCTATGGGTTTTGCGAAGCAATCTGTGTACGGTTATAGAACTCAGTATCAAGCATTCCCGTAGAGAATATTTTTACGTGACGATCTTTTACGGGTGTGTCATGTGCCGATCCTATCTGCAATGCTGGACTTAATTATGGAATAATATATTCGTATTTAATTATAGTTTTTTTTATCGATCGCTATTTAGTTTTGAAAATAGTGATGGTGAGAAGAAGTTATAATTTCCACAAAATTGGTTTTTGTAAATTAAACTTAACTAAAATTAACTATGATACAATGACAATATTACATGAATTTGGTTCATTAAACTTTAATTAAATTTAACTCATATTTAGATAATTTTTTATTCCTTTTTGCTTCCAAAAAAAAAAAAAATTAGTTAAATCTTTATTAAATTTGTTTAATATTTATACATAAATTTCATATTTTACCGTATTCGGAAGAGTACAATTTATAGCCATATGAGTGAGAAAAATGTGGAACACAGGTGACTGAATTTGGACAGTAGTACTGCAGAGATACGATTACATGATATACCCGTCGGTGAAGGAGTTATCAAGTGAATCGTACTATAAATCAGATGGAGTTCGGAGCGTTGAGAGAGACGTTCGGAAATGTCGAGGTCAATGTGAAATAGGTACTTCGGATGCGGTATACACAGATCACCGCTATAAATCAGGTTCCAGGCAAGAGATAAAAAGATCGATGAAGAAATTTACAAGTATCGAAAGTTGTTGAGTAGGCGAAAAGGGATGAGAGTTAAAGGTAGGAACGCGTAGTTATCCACACTCGAAAGAGAGAAAACACGCGTAAGAAAAACATGTCCATTCGTCTTTTTCGGATCACAGCAAATCCTTGATGTATTTTTGGAGAAAGACTATCAATCAGTCCGATGTAGGAGTAAGAGTGATAGGAGGGTCGAAATAGGGGAGCTTGAGGTCAACTCGTTCCGCTGATTCTTCTTGTCGTTCCATTTTTTTACTCATGGCAATACACTATCTTTACCGACAAACTAAGAAACGAAGGAACTATTCATGAATTGTTAAATAATGTGCTTATTTGTTTGCGCATAATAATTACCTGTTTTAAATGCAAAAAAGTGTGTACTTTTTGCTTTACGAGATATGTTTCTCATACTTGCTACGATCAGAGCCTTGGGGCGGAGATTGTGCTCTTGTGCGATCTTTATATGGAAAGCTTCTCATTGACGCCATAGTAGACAAGAAGGAAAAATAAATTAATCTTATTAAAGTGCAGAAAAGGGCGCTCTCTTTTGACATACAAATGGCGCCAGAGAAGTCTCATATAAAAGTTGCACAGAGGCGCTATAAGGTTTAGAGAGCCTACGCCTCTGGCTGACAATTAATTACGTGCACAAATGAATAAATAAATATATCTAACAATTCATGGGTTAATGCTTTGTTTCTTAATTTTCGTCGGTGAGTACAATCAATAAGTGCACGCGCGCGTGCGACACACCACACACACACCAACACACGTTCTTCGTCATACATTTATATGCTATACGAGTACGTTATACATCATACACTCTTACTCTTTTCCCCCGTTCTCGACATGAAGCAACAGTACTATTATGATAGTTACTGTATTACTACTATTATTATTACTACTATTACACCATTACTACTACTACTACTACTACTACTCTATTACTACTACTATTACCACTACTACTTATACTATTATTATTACGATTATTACTATGATTATTATTATTATTACTGCTATTATTATGATTATTCATTAAACACACACAAACACTTATATAAATATATCTATATATATATATATTAATATACTTAACGGTGTTTCTAGTGGATTAATTGATTAATTGATACTTAAGATATATTAATAATATTAATAACGATTATAATATGACTATATATATAATATTATATATATAAATCTATATATACATATATATATAATGATATAATGATGATAAGTTGATATGCTGATAATTACTATGATGATAATATAGAGAAAAAATGGATCATTATTCGTAAAAAATACACACCGGTAGATTATGAAGAATGATTAAATAGAAAATGATATTAATGAAAAAAAGGACTTTTTCTTTTGTCTTATTGATTCAATTAAATTGATCTCGATCCCTTCACTTAAATTAGATTACGCATCGTACGTAGATATGTAAAACTATTTCCGCCACGCGGTTGAGAGACTTAAAACACTGCACAGCATAAATAATTTATTTTTAGCGACAATCATATTAATACGTTCAGAGCCATTATCATGGGACGCTGTGTGAGTGTCAATCATTAGTTTTCAATATATATATTCTTTCTTTTCAATTTGTTTTCTAAAAAATTAGGGTATTGTGTGAATGGCAGCGAGCATGCGAGTGCGCGGGAGATAAGAGATTACACGAGTTTTCTTAGAGCCTTGACCGATGCTGCGCCTGCTCCGCGGATCGAGTTGATCGATCGCTCGGATCGGTGCCGATATGCGTTCCTTGGAAGATGACCTTCTACTTTCTTTTTGCCGCTTCTGTTTTACAATTATCTCACTCATTGTGATTTTCACCGTGCATACGTAATTACGTGCGCAATAAAATTGCAGCTCTCAGCTTTGCACGAAAGTTATTTCAGAAAATTAATATATACATTTTCATGGAATAAAAATTTGATATCGACTGATATAAAATTGACACATACTTTTTTGGGGGAAAAAAAAAATTATAAATCGCGATAATTTTCGTATGTACGGTGCTTCGTATCATTAACGAGAACGAAATTACAGAGGTGGTCCACTGTTGAAAAATGTTTTGATCGGATTCCTTGGATTTTCATTGATACAGGCATTCAGAACGTATCGGAAATGGTGGAAACAAGCTTTTAATTGGTGCAGTGTTTTATGCGCGTCCCAACACATATCCCGCCACGTTCTCTCGAATCTGAGACATGTGGTTTTGCGCACGTTATTATATACTCGTAACTCACTGCTTTTTTCACGAGTTCTTTACGCGTTTTTTTTTCACATTGCAACGGTGTTGTAGTCTCAGTTTCGAGTTGACTTGGTATTGACATTTTTAGCACTTTAGCTTAAAGAAGATTAATTCACAAGTTATACATCGAGCAAATTCTTAATTTTCTGACTTGGTAAGAGGAGGAGGGGGTTATAATCATCTTAATTTCGCTGACATGATAATAAATCGAAGCTTAATCTTAATTAAGAGCATACCGTAAAACTTAACCCATTAACCGGGCAGGCAGTTGAAATATTTCTCTAGCGTACCGTAATTTTAATATGCGTGTGATTTTCATGCGTTAGAGAATCTAGTTGCATACATGAATTATGTAGATGTAACTTACACGTAGATATAGATGTTAAAACACTGAAGATAATTTCAGTTAAATAAGTCCAATAGATGTATTAGTTATAACTTTATAATTTATGAGTTACGATTTGTACATTATATCGCGCGGTGCTTTCAAATTATTCTCGCGTCAAAATATACACAAATGATAATTTTAGATAAGATCTAGATTATTATCCATAACGAGGCCATAACGAAGTATATAGCATATAATTATAGCGTAATGTGTTATGAAAACAGAAACTCGGTTAAAGGGTTAAATTAGGAGCTTCGAGAGACTTGGTGTTGAACCGCTTCAAGTTAAGAACCGTCCTTAAAGAGGAAAATGCCCATACTCTTTCCCCTTTCTTTCATCTTGTATTGTCCTCGACCGAATCTCACTTGGTGCTGCCCTCAATGAGAGTGGCACTCGGGGTAGAAAAGTGCAGTTCCCAGAAATGAAACGAGCTTTAACGACCTCTCCTTCTTTTTCTCTTCCCCGCAGACGCCCTCCCGATCCCCAAATTCAAAAACGCCGAAACCGGAAGTCCGACCTTCATCCCTAACGGAGACGCAGCCCCCGGTCCGCAACGGTTCTCCTTGACCCAACACACGAATTACCATCCCTATAGACGCTAGGAAACGTCGATGTCGTCCGCACGGCCGTGAGAAACAGACGAGAGAAATAAATCTCACAAATAGCGTGAATGTTGGTGAAAATGGAGGAGCGAGTGACAGTGTGTGTGCGAGCGAGAGAAACGGACGTAACGTGACTTCCGGTCGTAATCTTCTCACGCGTTCTTCACGCGCCGGTCTATTTCCATAATTTTGATTATATATTATGATTTGTTAATTTTATAGAGCGGTGACTTCGAGCTCGTTCCCAGCAATCGAGAAATAGCGCGCAGTATGATTATTGAGTAAGGATTATTGAATTAATGAGAAATATATAAGTGCGCT